AATGAAAATTAGAAAGATATCTAGAGAAAACTGCATCGATTGTTGATCCATGTCTTGTAGTAGGCTCATTTCGGTTACTATTCATTTGCAATTCTAGTTTATCTTTTAGAAAGTTCACCAAAAGTTGTACATCTTGGGACACGAAATTAACATTGAAATCTCCTGCTGAAATTAGTGACAGTCTTGATAATTTCACTTTTGTCTGTTGGCTCATATTGATTATTCGATCTGTCTTCATGTTCAATATAGATATCATTCTTCCTGTTGAATTTCCAGTTTGTAAACATTCAATTATTTTTTTGATGATGAAGACAATACAAAACTCAAATAAATTCAAAGGAATAAACCACAACACTTACCTCTTGCAATCCATAATCATAAGCCGACGTATATGGATTGTCGCAAAGCGTCCTGACCAATGTTACCCTTCCTCGAAGTTTCCCTTTAGGTTCATAGAAAAAGGCGGCTCGGCCTCTGTTGTAATACTGAACGATAGAACAGTTGATCAGATCCCAGTCCATACCCAGTTTGGTAGCCACCACGGTGCTTACATCTCGTAGAGCTTCTTCCCAAGTACCTGCTACGATGTTTGCGAACTGAAATAAATCAATTTCCACAAATATTACAGATGAAAAGGTAGCCGTCTGGTTCTATTCATTCAATATCACTATATGAAATGGTGATTTGATCGATTTTCATTGCGCATTCTGTAACTCGCGCAAGGAATTGCACGTTAAAGTATAAGACCTCGGTAAATCCACAGCTCACAAGATTACCGTCTGAATATCCCGAACGATCAAAATCAACTCCCAACTGGTCACAAGTTCTATTTGCAGTTGATTCAGTTATTCAGTAGGACATACCACTGCGCCACCTGCTGAGAAAGTCCGGAAGCAACTCCACAAACAAATACTTCGAAGTGGGAGTCAGAATGATGAATATATTCTGAAGAGGTGCATATGATATGCTCAAGTACAGGTGGAAACACCTTACCAACGATTTTGTAGATACGTGTGGCAGACACCCGACGGAAAAACAACTAACCTAGCAAATGCCGCGCAGGAAGCTAAAGTAAAATCACCAGGCACCTGTGCAACATCTTCCATTTGAAAGATTCGTCGTAAGTAATTATACTGCAAGGGTTCTGGGACAAAATCCCATGCTTTTTCTTATGGAGTTTGATTCTGGTCATTTTCAAACCTCCGATTGGAACCTTGTGAAAGACCCAACTCGGAGTGAGACGGTGTATGTCAGACGTGTGTCAGAGTGAGACGGTGCGATATATATGTGTGTATGAGAGAGAAGGTGATGACGTCAGTGTGGAGTAGAGAAAAAAATCAAAGGTAGTGGTATACCAAGAGGGCACTAAACTTCGTTCGTACAGCACGTCAAATAGAAGGGCAACGAATGCAGAATTCATCAACAAAGAAAAACAAAGGTGGCGCAACATGTCATGGCGCAACATGCGGCATTGAGCCGCATCTTCGTTAATAATAGACGGATCGTCATGTTGCGCCATCTTTGTTTTTCTTTGTCGATGCATTCTGCATTCCTTTTTCTTCCATTTGACGTTATGTACGTAAAGATCCGATTATTATTAACGAAGATACGGTTTAGTTCCCTTTCGGTACATCACCATCTTTGATTTTTTCTCTACTCCACAATGACGTCATCACCTTCTCTCTCATACATCTCATGACCAAACTGGCCATCGGATGCGTGCTTCCACGTAGCCCCGCTGGATACGGGAATGAGCTTATCAGTTGTCTCTACGGAACCTTCGAGATACCGGGCGCCCTCTCGTCGTAGCACCGCCTTGTCACGGTAATGCGGAGCTCTGTCGTGATTGACCTTATTTCCCTAGCTACTCGTCGGACTTTTATGGACAGAGTAAACTTAAAAATTCTTTCTGACGCTGAGTCTACAGAGGAGATGGATGTCGAGTTCACAACTCGACTCACAACACTAGTTCACAACTGACCTCCCTGTAAATTTAGATCAGGAGCGACAGCTTCTCAACTCTCCAACTCCTGATCCAATAACTGAACCAAAAAAAAAGGTTTGGTGGTGCAGCCTGAAAACGACTGAATCGCCTCCTCGAGAGCGGGGTACCTTATGAAACCGCCTTGTACCGAATTCTTGAGCGGCGTACCAGAATCTGTCCCAGGTGAAGGAACAAACCCCTCATGAGCAGGTTAGCAAACGTTTGCGCTCAAGTGATGATCCACCAAAACCAGAGGCGAAAAAGCCCTGCATCGTCATGTGTGATTGACGTGTAAAACTCTCATATGGGACTGTTGCCACGGATATCAGGGTGGGAATCTTGCAACTTGACTATCCGACTATGTCATTAACAGAGCATATACTTTGTGCCTGCCCCTCTGGGGACCGAATCAGGTTTTTAGAGTTCGGCAGAGCCGAAATATCTGAATACCAAGAAAGAAAAGAATGAATACCTGGGAAAGCCTATTAACTAAGTTTTTGTGTTATATTAGAACTTATTGATGAATCAACGTGACGATTCTGGGCTTGCAAGAATATATAATCAACAAATACTCACTTCGTCCCGATGAATACCGACGAATGTTTCGCAAACCTCCTTCAGAGAATCTATCTTCGATTCCACTATCATCCTCGAAACATTTTTGGCGAATTCGACCGATCCATCTATGAATACCAAATTTACTTCTTCCCCTTGTTCTTCCAGCTGCAAAGCTATTTCCATCGCCAAAATAACCCCGTAGGAATACCCGCAGATACTGTACGGACCTTTCGACTGTTTTTCCTTCAAGACTTCGATGAAGTGACGTGCTAAATCGGGTATGGTGTCGTAATCGCTTTTCCTCGTACACTGAAAACCATACACGGTCGCCTTCGTCCATTTGGCCAAGGTCCTCATCGCGTCCACTCGCCCTTCCACTGGGTGGACGAAAAAGACGATCTTGTCGCAGTTTGGATGTTCGTTCAAGGTCACCACAGCTTCCTCTGTTAGGATAATCGATTGAGCTTTAGGAGTTTCCTGTTCCACTTTTTTAGGGAGAACGGTGTTCTTGTTTTCCCCCAGCGATATTAGCGCCTCCAAAGTGAGCTGTCTGATTTCCTCAACACTGAATTCCAGCTGGAAGTTTCTATACAGGGTTTGCTTGATTTCGGCCACCATTAGAGAATCCATCCCCAGTTGGGATAGGGTGCATGATTTGTCAGTCGAAGCTGAAGACAAAAAAACAGTAATTGATTGGAAATTCTTTTATAAAATAGTATCCTTGTATTTCTAAAATGTCAGATAGTTTTTTCTTCGCCTTCAATTATGATTTCAAATGATTCTTATAGCGCCCCAACTTGATGTAGCATGGATTTAGTCAAAACAGTGCAACATCAAAAGCAGTAGCAGATTTGCAACTATTTGAACAACAGCAGAATACGAAAGCTCTATAAATTCTGTTGAGAAAGCACCAGGAATCATCCTTAGTATGCCTCTTCCGGAGGCAGGACGAGGATTTAGCCTCTTTGAGGCTAAAATTTCCGGAACGAAATTCCGCTAACCACCGTCGACCAGTGCATTGACACCATCTCTTCCAAATGCCTGGTTAATTTTTTAGGCTATTCCAGCAGCGCTTGACAAAAATACCTCCGAGTGATGTTGTTGTCGCTAGTGCTGCCATCTCAACGGTAGCGAGCCAAACATTATGAAGAGGAGTGCGATTACGTGAATTTAGAGCCGTCGCCATGGGTGGGGGGCGGGGGGAGCCTTCCCCCTGCTTTTTCGACTTGGGAAGAAGTTGGAAAATTTTGGGACGAAAAAAAATAGAAATGAGAGAAAAGAAAGGGAGAGGTGATAAGAAAGGGGAAAGAACGAGGAGAAGGTTGGGATTTCCCAACATGCATAACTTAGAGATCTTGTATGGGATCTCTAAGTTATGCATGTCAGTGGGCAGACTATTTTTTATTATTAATCAGAAGAATCGGGCAAATTTCGGATATGCAGTTGGTTAGTACCTCATCCACTAGATAGAGTGACATTTTTGTTGTTCGTTTCAACCTACGACGAGGAAAGAAATACCCTGAAGGAATTTCGATTTTAAATTATGGAATATCATTGACTTTAGGTCGATGATGGCCACTATCTTGCACTGACGAGTGAATTATTATTCGTATTACATGTGAAAAGCAAAGGTACGAAGAAAACACAAGTCAGACTGGACAAACCATGTCATAAAACTGTTGAACAAACATTAAACGTTTCATCGAAGAAGAGTATTTACTCGGGACATCAATAATTCATAAAATGTTTATTACTTCACGTCCAAATGTTATTGTAACAGTTGACTTTGTTGGGCAATGACATGTTAAATTATTCGTTGGAAGGCATCTTCAGACTCGAAACCTTTAAGAGAAGTCTGACAAACATTTACATATAACCGAACAATATTCAAGAATGGATCTTACGAAAGCACTATATAAATTCTTTTTTGTTTTAATTCAAAAATCAGTAGAAATTCTCAACACAAAACCTAGCATTTTGAGACTTTCTGACACAATTTCTGATACTTGACGATTAAAATTAATTTCGCTATCGAATTCAACTTCCAGATCGCGAATAAATGGTTCACTTTTAAGAGTTATATTATTCAATGTATATTCAAAGAATATTGGACTTCTAATTTTAGCAGACGTGATGGTTTGACACTTATCCATGTTTACCTCAAACAAAGTATTTCAACACCACCTGGAAAAAGCTTCGAGATCTTTTAGAACTAAATCAGCATCTTCCAGTTGAAACTCGTGTCGCTGTTGTTTTAATTGTTCTGTGGAAATTGCACAACAAAGTGTTATTTCAATACGTCATTATATGGATTTTCATCAACTATTCCCCAGTTTTATACATTTATTAAACGCTAACTTTAAACAATACGTGTTTGAAACAAAACTATTTTAAATTCAATAATACATTTTGTTTACAAAACTCAGGCCTATAAATACCGATGGGATCCCAGCTAAGTCCGTTACTAGCGGATGTCTTCCTCAATAATTTAGAGAATAATCTCATTTCAAATAACTTTCTTTCCCATAAACATATTGTGTTCTGGTTTAGATATGTAGATGACATATTAGTAGGCTTCGATGGTTTAACAAGACAAATAATTCATTACTTGAAAAGTTGTACACCATAACTAATATGGCAGTGAAACAGTGAAAAATATGAGGTTTTTAATATATTTGCACAAATAGTAGAGTTTTCTCTTCAGTTGAGAAATATGTGCAGACCAGTTGAGTCTATTATCTAATGTAATGCCCAGTAATTTAACTTTATTAGTTTCACAATTAGAGATAATTTGATTATTGGCAGAAATCTGGATGTATTGCGTTTTCTGACAATTTAGTTTCAGCTTATTAGATAGAAACCACTGATTAGCACTACTAGATACCTCGTCGAGATGAGACTGTAACATATCATTATTTTTATCCTACAGAATGAAAGTGGTGTCGTCCGCAAAGAGAAACGATTTGAACGGTATCATATGTTTGCACAAGTCATTCACATAAATGACAAATAAGAGCGGACTCAAAACAGACCCTTGCGGAACGCCATGCTTAATAGTTTGAGAGTTTGATAAGGTACCATTGACGATTAGTAAGATAGGTTCTTATTAAGACAGGTCACAAAGCATCAACGCAGTGTGATTGCCCCGCTCAAGTTCCTCAATAACGCCAGACACGACGTCGAACACTGCATCTATTGTTGAGCGCGACTTTCTGAAAACATATTGTGAGTTGCTAAAAAATGTAATATTCTCAAAGTAGGAATAGAGCTAATTTTAATTATAATTTCAACTACTTTACTGTATTTGAAATAATACTTATTGGTCTGTAGTTATCAATGGCTTTTTCATCACCTTTTTTAAAAATGGACACTACTTTAGAAGACTTTTATCATCAACGAACAACTTGATTTAAGCAATAGTTCTCTCCTGAACCTATAAATCAGTTCCCAAAACCTACATTGCATCAAAAAATTTTGGTTTGGTATATGTTCATCGATATACTGCTATTAATTGAGGTTATCCCAGGTAGAAAACAATGTAGGTATCAAATTATTTATGATAGGTATAGACACTGTAGGTATGAATACTCAGATTTAAATGTAATCTAGTTAGTTTTCAAAATAGTGTAATGAAACTAGTCAACAAATATAAAACCATCGTGGAAAATAGACAAAAGTATGTTTTATAGTGTATCCTCAGTAAACAACATTTCACTTCCGTCTATTATTGACCGCAACACAGCATTGCAATGCTGAACCTCAACATTGACCCTCCCTGTATTTCATCGATGCGCTTCATTCCAGGTGATAGTATGATGAGTTACTGCAACAACGGAGGCGGGGGGAACGGCAACGTGGGGAACGGCGGCTCGCCGCCCCCTCAAATCCCGTGCTCGAGCTCGGCCACCCCACCAGTGGCGGCGGGAACCTCCCCCACCGGCGGCGAGGAGGACGACATCTGGCGTGGCCACAGCATAGCCGCTCTTCGGAGACGAGCCTCGGAGTTGAACGCCGCCATTCCTTCTTATCTGCAGATCAACTACGACACGCACAATAACGCCCCTGTATATTAATTGTGGACTTTTCGTTCCTTCAATGTAGGTACAGTGCGGGCAATGGATCTTTACACGTGCGTCACCAAATCGTGCATCCGACAAAGCAGTGTTGCCGCTACCATATTCTAAAAAGGTACTGGATGGCGAATAAAACGTACATGATTCAATATAAAAGTATTGAAAAAGCGAATCCATGAGTAATTAATATTTTTTGTATACATGTACCATTTCTTAATTTATATTCAATTTTAAACCAGAGTTTAGCTGTTACAACAAATAATTGATGAAATTGTATGAATTTAGAATGAATACTATACTGTCAAACGAAGATAATACGGCATCATTTGTCGAATTTAGGTTTCGACTCATGTTTGTATCCATATAACGAGTATAAACTACCATCCAAACGAAAACTATCCTGATCAAACGTAAACTCAATTGTTTTGTCTCCGTTATTCACTCGTAGAAGAAAAGGGTGCTATATAAAAATATGGTTTCACCGCGCCAGGTATTGATGACGAATGTGTAATGATTCTTTGCCCCAAGTGTAAGGAATTTGTGTAGAACTGAAAGTGGATTACGAAATGTGCGCGTGTTTTTTCATTTATTGTTGTTAACTATTTTTTAGGTGGTGTTTATTTTGGAACCCAGTGACTTAGGTGAAATAAGGATGTCAAACTTGAAAATTTGAGTTGTTTTGTTTTGTCGCTATATAGGGTATCTCATTCAAACATCCGTAATCAAATCACTAATTAAAACCTAAACAAAGATTTCATGAAATTATTTCTCAAGATGTATGGGATATATCTTGTCGAAACCTTTTTCAAGAAATGAAATAAGACATTTCCTTGTTGTTTTTAACATGGTTCATTCGATTACTTCAACTACTTCCGTGTATACGATGTAAAATAAAATCTGTACAAATTGTAACTTGTTCGTCAAATAGGGTAACTTTAAATTTTTTGATTGAATTAAATGTACTTAGATTGTAGAAAATATAATATATAATGTACTTACTGTATACGTCAAATGACTACAGGATAATATCAGCAATATGATAATACAATAATAGGTTTTCCTTATTATTTTGATCGGACTGAATATTTTTCGTGTATATGCAAGATCCTGGCTTCATTGCAAATAGCAGATTATATTTTTTTTCAGTTTTATTCGTAACTATTTTCGTAGGCACTTTCTACACTTTCATATTTTCACTTCCGTTATGCAACAAAAACGCATTTCTTTCCTCTTTTATCAAACACATAAATAAATGTGTGTTTTGTAAACAAAGAAATATTAATGTTTTGTTGAAAATATTGGATTTGCTGATATTAGTCTTCATTGGAAAACTTTGTTACTATATTTCATTCATATGATATGTACCTACTGACTAATACTTGAGAAGAAATTTTTGTTTATAATTATTTGCTGACACGAAATGTAGATGAAAAGAAATTATTTTTTGTTGAAAGAAATGTATAACACATTATTTGTTTATGAACATGTTTTGTGAAATGTATTATTAAAAATGTTATATGAATGTCATTCGATGCAGTTTTTTCGAACCACCATGATCACCAATAACTCATGTTTGTGTAGTAATTGAGAAAACAGAATCCATCCATTGGCACGAAAATAGTAATTAATGACTAGACTTGAGCTCACTATTTTCAATTTTAGTATGTTGAGAGTTTATAAAACCAGTTGTAGTTTTGGGGTTAGAGCCATAAACCCACTCAAACGGTGCAAAATGTAATCAATTTGCATACTCTACTTGGAATTTTGCAACTCAGCGCCATCTTCTTGGGAATACCAGAAGTTACGTACTGTTTTGTGTTCATACTTTTTTGAACATTAGTTCTGTGCCACTTATCGGGAAATAGCGAAAACTGTCCCAAACTTTATGTTCTTACTTTTCGAATAATTACAGTGCCCTATCTTTCGGAAAGAACTGAAAGTTATCTACAATTTCGTGTTCATACTTTGTAAACATCAGTAGGTGCCATCTTTCAATGAATGTCTGAAACTATTTAGTTTCCTAACTTTCCAAACATAGTGAAGATTCTCTACCGATGATGGCGCTACAGCTAACAGCTCATGGAATAACTGAATGTTTGTTTTTTTTGTGTTTTGAGACATTTAATTGTGAATTTTTGGGAGTAATGTTTTTGAGAGCATTCATAATAGACACGAGAAACTGATGAGTAAGTAAAATAAATCATTTTCCTCTCATATTGGGAGTACAAGAAAATACAAAAATATATGAAAACGGCTGACAGGACTAGGTTTTTGTTTTACCATCTGGCTTAGTTTCAATTAGTCCGGTAGATGTCGTAAGTGGACAATGATGATGACCTAATCTAACCTAACAAGATGATCACTTGGTGATCGAAACACGTGTCGATGTGTTAAAAATAACGATTTGGTGTTGGGAAAAAACTTCCACCGTAGGGAAAATTTCCTATTTGTTCAAAGTATTGTTTCACGAATTACTTTTTATTTTTACAAAATCTTCCTTCATATCAAAGTTCTATTGATGATTTCTGATACAGCCTTAGCATTTTCTTCCAGAACAATTGTGTAGTGGTTTCCATTTACCATCACCACATCCACTTTCTTCTGGCACAACTGAAACATACAAATGGTACAATTGTTAAAAATGTTCAACTCTTTTATACTCTGAAAGCATGGAAGTAGCTTTTTGTATGAGAAGACCACGTCAACATTTCCAAATCATCCTCTGGTAGTGGGACACGAGTTCAATAATAACAATGACGTTTTTGGGAGAATAGCTTTTTGGATTTGTACTTCTCAATCCTCATAAAAATATGAGAAACTTACGAAAAAAAGAGCAAGTGTGCTTTAGACCACACGACTGAAGTAACTTCTTCAGCTCCATCTACTGATGATGCCCAACAGGCTGAAACAGTTGTCTGGTTATCCCAGGTNTAAATCGTCAGTAGAGCACTCCACACTGAAAATATATAATTGAATTTGATTATCTACAAGAAATAAAATACGGTTTCTATTGCCTAATAATATTAGGCAATAAAAAACGAGACTAATTTGACGACTCTTAAGACAAACAAGTGAATACTTTATTCTATCCAGCCTTTCTTGTCCTACATATTTTCGATTGATCAGATCATGTTTGATAGTCACCTGTTCGTGAATGTTCAAACGTAGGGAACATTCGATTTGATTTGATACCACGAAGTCTTAGTAGAATAGAGAGAGAAGTATGTTATATCGCCTAAGATGTCACCTCTGTTAAATATAGGATCTTTCATTAAGTGCTTTCAATCTTTAAAGTTAAATAACAGCAGCTTGACAGAATTAACCTTTCTCAATTTTATATCATGTGGATTAGTTTTCCGATGGCATTCCAGAATAGCTTCCCAAATTTCTGCTACCGCATTGTCGGTTGATTGATCAAACCACCAACACTGACATAAAAACTTGGCAAGCTAACTTGGGTCTCCCACCAATAGGTGGTTCCACTCATATCTCGCTTGCGTTTACGAAGTTACTTTTATCAAGTACTTTTCTTAGTTACTCACATTTTGTCTTCAATACAGGACCGCCTGCCCAGTACTAACGATGCCCAACAGGCTGAAACAGCTGTCTACCGGTGGCTCTTAAATTGAAATCAATGTTTCACATCGATATTGGGTACTCTTTCGTCTACTCAAAAATTAGATGAAATATTCCTGAACCCACAAATCAAATCAAAATTTCCTATGAACATCGCAAAATGGAGTGAGCAGATTGATCACTTCCCAATTGTCTCAGAAGATGCAGAGGAAAATAAACAAGTTCTGGAATTATCTTTCTTTCACAAATTCGAAAAAACCACCATGAGTATATTTGTCCAGAACTTTATTCCTCCCAAGTGCGCCGCTAGTGTCCACAGTGATCGACGACATGTTTGTGGCCCTTTCGTCTCCTTAAGTGCTTATAAAAAACGATTTGTTTAGTTGTCCAGAACTTTATTCCTCCCAAGTGCGCCGCTAGTGTCCACAGTGATCGATAACATGTTTGTGGCCCTTTCGTCTCCTTAATTGTTTATAAAAAACGATTTGTTTAGTCTAGTTGGAAATGTATCAAAGGCAGGACTTCTACGCAAGTCACTAAGTGGCCTCAATTATCTTTTTAAAGAAAATTATTTTGTCTGTATCAATAAATGGGAATAGACGCATGCTTTCATGAAGCAGTATTTCATTTCAAGTCAAATAGCAAAAATACGATAATTACAGTCCACTCAAAGTGTTTCCAGTTATCCCATGGTCCTTCGAGCCGGATTAATCAAGAAAAACATTCGGTGAACTCGAATCAAACAAGTGTGTGAGCAAGCTGGTTATCAGTGTCTAGCATAGAAGCAGAGAAACTCCGAAAAATCGAAAAATCGAAAAGTGAGTTCCTTTGAATCTACATTTATTTTTCCAAACATTCCAAATACAGTTTCGATTTGAAATATAGTTCAAATCAATTACCAATTCACAAATTGAATACTACATTGCAAATATGTCTACCAAAGTATTGAAAAAACAACGATCAATGAAATGTATCCGAATCTACCGCCAATGAACCTCAAGAAATTTATACGAATTCAGAACAATTTCAATATGTTTGGATAAACTTTAAAAATGGTCTTAATTTCAAGTGATTTGTTGTGAACCACAGAGACGCCTGTCTGAGAGTATCATCACTAATTGATGGTAATTCGATTATGTTTTTCTGATACGTTATTAGAGTTGTGTCATCTGCGAAAAGAACACATTTACCTGGTAACATAAAATGACTGAAGTCATTGAAATATATCAAGAATAGCAATGGTCCCAGAACGAATCCCTGCGGTACACCAATCTTGATACTTTTATTATCAGACATGCTACCACTCACACACATAGATTGGGTTCTGTTACATAAGTATGACTGAAATAAACTGAGTAGTAGCCCCCTCACTCCATAAAACTCCAACTTTTTGAACAGAACATCATGCGAAACGCAGTCGAATGCTTTAGAGAGATCACACATGGTTGATATCACGTGTTCACCTCTCTCAAGACCCTCGATAACCAGACTCACAGTCCCACTCTGAATCCGTTTTGATCTTCACTAAATAATTTGTTATTGATGAAAAAGTTCATGAGCCTGTTCTTCAAAATAACTTCAAAAAAATTTTTTCCCAAAACGGGAATGATTGATATTGGTCTATAGTTACCATTATACAATCAGAGTAGTCTTCAATTGTAAAAGCTAGGGTGAAAATTCGAAACATTGAAGACAAAATAAAACATGACGTAACTTTCAAGGCAATGGATGCATCCTGCTGCTCAAAGTAGCATTGTTTGCGCTGCTGGAATTCCTACGGCCAACACTAATGGAACTTTCAGTAGAAGTAGGAAACAGAAAACCACAAACATCGAGTAATCCACTTACTTAATCATCGCGAAGAAAAATCTTGGCAAACAAGTTAACGTTAAAATATGTTTGAGGAAGTGATTAGAACTATCGAGGAGTATTTCGGTAGCAACTAGCAACGATGCTCCTAATCACTGCTAATTGCAGTATTGTGTTGCGGCTCGGCCCGCATCTCTCCCCCCGGCCCCCCCTTTCCCCTCCCGTCGTCGATCGGCCGTGGAATACCTCAACGAGTTGTTACTTTCGAACAGAGGTGTCAAAAGTAAATGTTATGTGTGGGTTTGTTTGACTTATATACGCTCTGTAAATGTTTGAGATTACGATATAAATGGATCTTGAGGCAACACTTGTGTGCATGAATAGTCTGGTTCACAACGAAAAACTGACCTCTAAGACAGAAAATAATGGTCAAAATGTGTCATTCGATTTGGAATACCATTTGAGAGTAAAAATATATTCTACTACTTTTTTTAATTTGATAAGCGAGTAAGAGGTCAACAAAAATGAACATATAATTTATTTATTTATTCACGGCAATGCCTATTTTTATAAAATAATTACCAAGTTCACACATATGAATTTAACAGTAATCTAAGCTAGGTTTAAGAAAAAAATATACAAAATTAAATTTAAAAAAATCGTAAAACAAAGCAACTCAAACAATGATAGATGCGTGATCAAAGCATGGTCACCACACACATTTGCATCTATTGAATAAAATAAACAAGCTTTCTTTCTTGTGCTATGGTGTGTATATATCGAGTGGTCCAACGAAACCTTGCTTTTCTCCTTTTGTTGTAACTTAACGCAAAAATGCTCGGACAGGTCAATTTAGCTTTTGATGGGGACACATTTTAGATGTATTTTTCTACCTGTGCCTTCAACCCCCTAGCGAGGGTGAGTAACAACCCTAAAATTTTAAATGAAGAGTGGGGTCGAGTGATATATCATTTAAAAGGGCACAAAATTCTCTTTCCAATGATACCTAATTTGTTGTATTTACTTGAATAGTTATAAAGAAAGCACGAGCATTTACTCGATATTTTTGGTGTTAATGAAAATGCGAAAAAAACGGCATTTTTATCACTACTACATTCCTCAATTTCTCTCGTGCGTTTTTT